GCCATGCCCGAGGTCCAGTACTCGAACTACCTGCTGCGCAAGCAGAAGCGCCGGGGCGGTGCGCGGGCTCGGCCCGAGCCGGTCCTGGATAATCCCCCGCCTCGGCCCATCCGAGTGCTGCCTCGCGGGCCTCAGGGTCCCTGAGCTCCGCAGACCTCTAGGAGTATGGGTCCTGGGTCCTGGGTCCTGCCCTGCCCTCCCAGGAGTTCAGCCAGGCGCTGCCTCCATGTCCTGCCCCATGAGAGCCCTTTCTTTTCAAGGGGCTTGAGTCCCTCGCCGAACTTTGGGGTACGCCTCCGTGAGCCCCCTCTCCCTATCGTGGGCTGAACCCCGCCTTCGGGCACGGCGCTGATAGGCTGGATCCAGCACTGGGCCACCCTCTTCTTCCCAGCTGGTTGGTGATTTTGACGAGAGGCCTGAGGGCTGTCCAGAACTGCTCACTCTGCCTTTTTCTGGGGGCTGAGCGCCCCCGACCTGTCTTTTCCAAGTGGATAAGCCCAGGCCCCGCGGAGAGAGGCTGAGCCCTGGGGAAAGGCTGCTCTTGCTCTCCTTCCCAGGGCTTGAGGCTCCCTATACTTTTCTGTCTTCCAGGTTCTACCCTCCCCACAGACCTAAGCTGCTCCCAGTCTCTCAGAACCAAGAGTTCTTGGGTTGGGATTTTTGTCTGGTTGGTTTTTCTCTTTTTTAATAAAACATCTTTAAAATGTGTGAGTCGTATGTCAGTCATAGAAGCCGGATTCCCCACATTTGAGGATGAAACGGATTCCCAGGAGGAGCTGTGGCTGGAGCCATGAGGATGGGGGCGTGGACTCAAGGTCCCCCGCCACCTGGCATAGGCCCACAACCCTCCTCAACTGCTTGACTGACTAGGCCCCCAACACAGACTGGCCACCTCAGCCCCACTCACTTTCCACATAGTCCTTTTTCACAAAATTCTGCAACATTTACTGAGCATCATCTCTGTAATTTGGAGATACAGGTGAACCAGGCAGATAGGGCCTTATTTTCATGGAGCTCATGGGGAAACTTTGGAACAGGAGCAAAGCAGGTAAGCAAAGAGGAAGGACTGGAGGGATTAGAGCAAAACACCTCCTTGGGTGGAAGGAGGATCATTTTCAGGTAAGGAGCTGCCTAACTCAGAATTTGACCTCCCCTGACCATCACTGACTTCACTAATGGCCTGCTTTCCTCACAAGAAGACAACTCAGACTCAGATGAAGACCAATCCCTTTCTGCGATTTCCTTTAACACAGCAAGATACCCAGCACTTCGAGGTGAAATCTCCCTTAAGACTGACTAGCAGAGAATCGGGACTTTTTCTGTTACTTTCTTCAGAGCTATATCTACATATCTGGACAAGTCATAAAAACAATAGCTACTATGGTCTACGGTGTGCCAGCCACCGTTTAAGGGCTTTATGTATATTAACTTTGGAGATGGGTACCATTTTCCAGGTGAGGGAACTGAAACTTGGGGGAGATTAAGTCAGGGTCACACAGCCAGAAAGTGGCCGCTAGGATCTGAACCAAGACAGTGTGGCTTCAGAGTCTGTGCTCACAAGCGCTGTCTGTAGTGCCATTCAAATAAAAAAGGTCACCTGCCACAAGCTAGGCTGACTCCCAGCACCTTCCCCCAAAAGAATGTAAAGGGAAGAACCAAGACACTGCTATCAGCAACTCTTTATCCTGTTTTTCATGGAAACAACGGTTGACCTGTTTGGACAACGAACATTGCAGTGATTGGTTGGCAGGATGCATGACACGCTGGGCTTGAAAGGGGACTGTTGGTATGGCACCCCACTTTTTACCAGCAGAGCTCTGAAAAAGGCAATAATTAGAATCATGCAAAAGCATAGTTAAGTTTCTGACATTAAGCAGCAGTAAAGAATTGTACCAGACTCAAAGTGATCTATCCAAAAATAGGTGTCCTCTGGCCCCCAGCCAGTAAGGTGCTTGCCATTGTCTCCATCTGCACCCCCAGCCCTAGCCTCTGGTCATAACTCTGCCAGGAACATCCTTCACCTTGCCCTCAGTTGGCCTGGAAAATTCAGACATGCCTTTAAATCTACTTTTTTTTTTTTTTTTTGACAGTCTCACTCTGTCTCCCAGTCAGGAGTGCAGTGGTGCAATCTCGGGTCACTGCAACCTCCACCTCCCAGGTTCAAGGGATTCTCCTGCCTCAGCCTCCTGAGTAGCTGGGATTACAGGTGCCTGCCACCACACCCGGCTAATTTTTGTATATTTAGTAGAGATGGGGGGATTCGCCATGTTGGCCAGGCTGGTCTCGAACTCCTGACCTCAGGTGATCTGCCCACCTCGGCCTCCTAGAGTGCTGGGATTACAGGCATGAGCCCCCACGCCTGGCCAAGTCTGCTTTGATAAGTGTCCCAGTTCATTATGTGTTGCCATAAAGAAATGACTGAGGCTGGGTAAATTAAAAGGTTTATTTGACTCAATCCTGATGACTAGAAAGTTCAGGATTGGTATCTGTATCTGGCGAGGGTCTCAGGCTGCTTCTGCTGGGCGCCCCAAGTATGCAGAGACCACAGGGGAAGCAAGGGGGTCACAGGAGGTGCCAGGTCTTTTTAACAACCAGCTCTTGGAACTGAGAGTGAAAAAGCACACTTAATCCTCAGGGAAGGCATTAATCTTTTCATGAGGAATCCACACCCATGAGCCAAACACCTCTCATTAGGCCTACCTCCAACATTGTGGATTAAATGTCAACACGAGGTTTAAGGGACAAACAGCCAAACCACTGCAATAGGCCTCCCCTGGCCTCCCTGGCCGCCAGGCAGGCGGGCCCTCCTTTATAAACCTTGCCCCACCTCAGCAGAGAGCACAACTCTGGTCTCAGAAAAATCTGGAGTCAGGGGCAAATGGAATCATCAGGTACTTGGAGAGGGTTCTCTGTTTGACTCAGGGGCAAGGGCAAATCCTAAAGCTGAGCAGGGGCTCTGGAACTCTTTGGTGGGAACATCTCCAGCTTCAGCCACAACCAGGTGAACAGGCCTCAGCCCCTGGGACCCCAACCCCCAGGACTCCTGCAAGGAGGCTCCTTCCACCAACAAACACTGGGTGCTGCCCACTCTGTGCCTACTCAGAATGGTCCCAGAACTTTGGCAGTGAGTGAAACGTGGTCCCTGCCTTGAGGAGCTCACCCTAAGGTCTAGAGAAGATGTGGAGGCAGCAAACCTGGCCAACAATGACTCTATGGGGGTGATCTTGCCTTGTGATTAACCACTGGGGCTCTGGAGTTCAAACCCTGGCTCTGCCATCTACCAGTTACATACTTTGAACTTAGCCTTTGAGTCTCGCTTTCCTCACCTGTGAAATAAACAGGCCCCTAGCACAGGTCCTGGCACACAGAGGTTCTCCCAAGATGCCATCTCTGGTTTCATCAGGACTCCTCCAGGGTCAACACCTTTCATGTTGTAGATGTTATAGTTTGACACATCTATTAGAAGAGTTTTTTTCGCAGATGGAAGAAAGCATTTTGAGGAAGGGGTGACTTTTTCTACTTTCCCCAAAGCCATGGTATGGGCTATGAGCAGCCTTGATTTTTTCTTTGTTTGTTTGTTTTGAGACAGGGTCTCACTCTGTTGCCCAGGCTGGAGTGCAGTAGTGCAATCATAGGTCACAGCAGCCTCGAACTCAAGTGATCCTCCCATCTCAGTCTCCTGAGTAGCTGGGACTATAGGCTCATGGCACCATACCCAGCTAATTATTTACTTTTTTTGTAGAGACAGGGTTCTTAGTATGTTGCTCAGGCTGGTCTCAAACTCCTGGACTCAAGTGATCCTCCTGCCTTGGCCTCCCAGAGTGCAGGGATTGCAGGTGTGACCCATCGCACCCAGTCCAGCCTTGATTTTCATGAATATAGGAAGCACAAAGTGTGTAAGGAGCAAAGGGGAGGACAGGAATGCCTGCCTGAGGTCAGGAGAGGTTCTCTGGAGAAGAGATGTCCCAGATGAGAACAGGGATGGAGGAAGGGGCTCTGGACAGAGGGAACAATACATGCAACACGCAGAGGTGCCGGGTATGAGAAAGCCTGGGCCCTGTGAGACAGGGATGCTGGGCCATCTGGCTGGGGAGAAATATGCCAGTGCCAGATTATGAAAGCCCTTGAATGTCATGCTTAGAAGTTCAGATTGAGGCCGGGCATGGTGGCTCATGCCTGTAATCCCAGCACTTTGGGAGGCCGAGGCAGGCAGATTGAGGTCAGGAGTTCCAGACCAGTCTGACTAACATGGTGAAACACTGTCTCTGCTAAAAATACAACAATTAGCTGGGCATGGTGGCGGGTGCCTGTAATCCCAGCTACTCGGGAGGCTGAGGCAGGAGAACTGATTGAGCCTGGGAGGTGGAGGTTGCAGTGAGCTGAGATGGTGCCACTGCACCCCAGCCTGGGTGACAGAGCAAGACTCCATCTCAAAAAAGAAAGAAAAAGAAGAGGAAGGAGAAGGAGAAGGGGAAGTTCAGATTGGCTAGTTTCTAAGGATCATGTGGATGAATCAAGATTCCTAGTCCAAACACAATGATCCTGAGGGCATGGAGCCTGAAGGCATCACCCAGAGCATCTGGAATGAGATTGTCAACAGCTTTGACGACATGGACCTCTTGGAGCCCCTCCTTCATGGCTTCTATGCCTATGGTTTTGGGAAGGTCTCTGACTTCCAGCGGCATTAGTCTTCCTCCTATCAAAGGTTATGTTGTGGTTGATTGCTCAAGCCCAATCTGGGGCTGGGAATATGGCCACATTTGCCATATCCATTCTACAGCAGATTGAATTGAATCTTAAGGCTACCCAGGCCTTGGTCCTGGAACCCACTTGAGAATTGGTTCAGTAGATGCAGAAAACGGCCATGGCATTAGATTATGTGTGTGCCTCCTGTCACACCTGCACTGGGGGCACGCACATGCATGTTGAAGTAGAAGCAGAAGCTGCAGATGGAAGCTCCCCATATCATCGTAGTACTCCTGGCCACGTATTTGATATGTTTCACTGGAGACACTGTCTCCCAAATACAGCAAGAGGCTTGCATTGGATGAAGCTGATGAAATGTTAAGCCAAAGATTCAAGAACCAGATCTATGCCATATTCCAAAACCTCAGCCAGTCACAGTGGCTCACACCTGTAATCCCAGCACTTTGGGAGGCAAAGGAGGGAAAATCACTTAAGCTCAGGAGTTGGAGAATAGCCTGGGCAACAGAATGAGACCACAGTTTCTACAAAAAAAATTTAAACATTATCTGGGCGTAGAGGCATGCACCTGTAGTCTCAGCTACTTGGGAAGCTGAGGCACAAAGATCACTTGAACCCAGGAGTTGGAGGCTGCAATGAGCTATGATCACACCACTGCATTCCAGTCTGTGTGACAGAGTGAGATCTGTCTCTAAAAGTAACAATAATTAATAAATAAAGCTCAACAGCAACACTCAGATGGTTTTGCTATCAGCTATAATGCCTTTTGATGCACTTGAGGTGACCAAGAAGTTCATGAGGGACACTGCCAGAATCCTTGTCAATAAGGAAGAGTTTGCCCGGGCGTGGTAGCTCATGCCTGTAACCCCAGCACTTTAGGAGGCCGAGGCGGGCGGATCACGAGGTTAGGAGATCGAGACCATCCTGGCTAACACGGTGAAACCCCATCTCTACTAAAAATACAAAAAAATTAGTCAGTTGTGGTGGCAGGTGCCTGTAGTCCCAGCTACTCGGGAGGCTGAGGCAGGAGAATGGCATGAACCCAGGAGGCGGAGCTTGCAGTGAGCCGAGATAGGGCCACTGCACTTCAGCCTGGGCGACAGAGCGAGACTCTGTCTCAAAAAAAAAAAAAAAAAAAAGAAGGAAGAGTTCACCTGGAGGGTATC